TCCTCCACAACTAGACTGAAGAACAAAACGACAGCAACTTGTCTATTCCCCTTCCCCAATTCCCCAGCACTGTTCCTATCCCCCCAATTCCCCAATAAAAATCTTAAATAAAAAAAAATGATAAAGCAGCTCTTTATATGAGGCTGTAGAAAGAGTTTCAAAGATATAGAGCTTCAAAGAAAAAAACAAACAAACAGGTGCAAACGGTGTCTATACATTTGTATTGCCTTCTCTGTCTATAAAACCCCTGTGGACACGTACACAAGAAGTAATGTTGACTGTCCACAGGGAGAGGAAGTAGATAGAAGCGGACAAGGGTGAAAGAGAAACTCATCACTATCCTTTTATGAGTTTGGGTTTCCGAATGAGTTATGAATTAGCTATTTTAAAAAAAGATAAATAAATATGGATCAGACTACACTTTCTTGCAGAGCCAATTTTATGCACAGGTCCTGAAAAGCCTATTGAACCTGAGTTATTGACACAAGGACACTGGAGGAAGGGCCACAGCAGGGTGTCCATGGGGAGGGAGGCAGAGGTAGGTGGAGGCACTGGGGTTCAGGTATACAGCTGGCTCCTTGTTTAGGCAACATTTTAGGGTGGGATGGTCCTAACTGCCATGATATAAAATCCTGTCCGTCCTCACCATTTTCAGAAAAGGAGGTCTCTGGCGGCTGACCAACCAGAGTGGAAAGGCCTGAATCAAGGGGATCCCCAAAGCTTTACTCTCTGCTCACAAGGAAGCAGGACGTTCTCGTCATGGGCTGGTGGTGGGTGAAGAGGAACGAAAGAGGTAAATTGGAAGGGCTTAGGCCAGAAACGAAGTCTTAGAGTAGAAGTAGTCAGTGAGCCCTTGTGGGTGTTTTGCAAATTCCAAATGAAGAGAATTTCTAGCCTTTGTGTATCAGTCAGGGCTCTACCTCCTGATTAATGATCAGTTACTGAACCACCTGAGGGTGCTGCCCGCCCACATTTGGGCCTCTCCTGATTTCCAGTTTCCTTGTGTTGCTATCATTTCCTCTACTCCCACTCTCTTTCTCAAATCAAAAAAAAAAAAGGGAAAGAAAAAGAGAAAAAACATCTTCCTATGTGTAGCCCTTTCTCAAAAACCCTCCCCTTGACCTTGAAATGTTAACTCTACACAATCGCTAATCCCTTTCTCTGAGTTCTTAGATCACTGTTTGCTCATCTTTCTCCCCCCTTAGATGACACTTGAGATAATACTCATCTGGGAAATTAGATTCCTCTAAACACAAAGGTCCCAACTCCTGAGCACTGAAGAGGATAGATTCGCTAACAAAAGGGTTCAACCCCCCAGTCAGTTGTTTGTCACCCTTTATCAAGGTCAGAAAGAAGGTCCAGCAGATGTACCGGCATGGAGTTCAGCTGCAAA